CCACGTCTTCCTCAAGATTGACGATAACAGGTGCATATTCACTTGGTCTCGTCTTCTTCCTCGGCTCCTTTCACTTCCAACTCAACCTGTTCCCCGTCTTCCAGCTCCAGCAAGCCACGCCGTACTATGGAAGCCCTTGATAGTTCCCAATTGTATTCAGCTTTGACAAACTGTTCCAAAAGAGCGAACTCCTTCTTGAACTCAACGCAAGAAGCATCGGCCATGTCATCCACAGTCCTTTTGAGCTTTGCAAGGAGGTTCTTGAGCAAAGTCCCACCGTCTTCTCCATCCATTTCAAATAATCCACCTTCAACATCATCACAGTGCCGCAGTTGTATTCTCAGTGTTTGTAAGACCTTGACGAAAAACTGTTCTCGCTCTTTTATCGCACATTGGCAGGTGAATATTAGACCCAAGAGCCGTTTCCATTGCTCCATACACGAGTAATTCATCAGGGTAAGTACCATCAGGAACGTGAATTGTAATTCACCAAGTACCTGTTCTTCCCCTGCAGTTTCTGCGTCGCGTGGTTGATTAGCCGGGAGCGCATGTGCGATTAGTTCTCCCAATGCCCAAGAACGATCTTGCGCTGCTTCAGTCCGCTCACGTCCTATGGCACCTTCACGCCAGGTTTTCTTCAGATTGACTGGAAGAAACTGTAGATCCTTCTCTTGTTCACCAGCAGTCCCGGCCGCATCGGCAATATCTTTTGTAGATAGGCCCGGAATATGGTCTGTATCCCTCCATGCTGAACCTCCAGACGAGATTGTCCAACGCTGTGTAGAGGAACCCAATGTACCGTTGGACGGGCCCAAGATGCGGCTCAATACTGAAGGGGTTATGTGATCCGACAGTTTTGCCCAGTCGCCTCGGGCAGGAGAGCGTTCGTCTTTGCCACTCATAAGACCACGACCTTCTTCACTTGCTCCAGTGGTATTCTCTGGTATCGTGTTCAATCGCGATGTGTACGCCAGCAGACCGCCGGACGCCCATATCGCCCCCAGATTAGCCCTGAGACCCATCGCCTCCTGTCGTCCAGCATCGTTGCTTTCATCGACGGGAACCAGGGTCTCCAGGGCAGTATCCCATTTGCGCAATCTGATATCTATCCCACCTGCACGAGAGACTTGATTTGAAGGTCCATTACCCTGCCCTTCAATATAGAACCATTCGCCACTCCTCAGTGAGAAGCTCTCTGTTGTTCCGGTGTACAAGAAATGCGCGCCAGCCGGAAGGTCTTTGACTCCGTGGAAATTCGGCGTAGAGGTGAAGGAGAAAAGGTCAATACCAACTAAAGTTTTTGGAGGGAGATCGCTAATGACGAGGGTCGGAGTCGGCTGAGGGGAGCCTGACATTTGGTAGGGTGCTTTTTTGATGTATATTGGTTTTGAAATGGTAGTTTGGTAAGAGTGGCGGAGAAGATGATCTCTTATGTATTAGCCCTTCACAGCTAGGTAGAGTGGGGGAAGGATCTCTCATCAATGGAGAGGTACTCGGATGAAATCGAGATTGCTAGGCTCTGAGGTTATTGTTTGATAAGCCCACAGATGCTTTTCATCATGATAGGTTCGAGAATATATTTTGGGAGCGTACCCCGTATAGAGTAAACATCAGGATCGCCAGGGCTCGTCCACTGAGTCGTGATCTTACATCATTACTAAAGTGTTTATATGCGGGGCACCCATAACATACTGAACCAAAGAAGATTACAGCCTATTTTGATAGCTCGGAATTGCTCAGATACCTCATTTGATTGCAAACTATTATGAGAATGCTAACAAGGCTCATATACGGTACATTGCAAGTCCGGGATAAAGCAAATAAGAAGACCAGGCGAAAATGCCGTTCTTCGCGTTTATTCCATCCACATGATGCAAAAGATATTGGAAAAGTATCCATGCATTCCATCCTCGCCCCAACCGCAGATTGAGATCCGGCGGCAGCGGGGTAGTGCGAGCAGTCGGCTCACAGACGACGACCACGACGACCACCCTTGCGGCGGGTGGAATCGGAAGGAGTGGGAGTGACGTCCTCGATTCTTCCGATTCTCATTCCAGAACGGGCCAGGGCGCGAAGAGCGGATTGAGCACCGGGGCCAGGGGTTTTCGTGCCGTTACCTATAGAGCAAAATATTAAAATCTGAAGAAGTGGAGCGTTGATAACCCTGGGATATGTGGATCTTTCCATACCTCCGGTAGCACGGATCTTGATGTGAAGAGCATTGATACCCAATTCCTTGCAGCGAGCAGCAACATCCTGGGCAGCCAACATAGCAGCGTATGGAGAGGACTCGTCACGATCGGCCTTGACTTTCATGCCGCCAGTAACACGGCAAATAGTTTCGCGACCACTATAACAGCAAAAATGACTTAGCCACTATTTTTTGCGCAACGCTAGTCGCATTCAATCCGATCGGGCAAGCGTGGTAATCCGGCGCCAGCCAGATTGCTGCATATAGATATGAGGATAAGACGAACCTGAGATCAGTGACATGGACGAAGGTATCGTTAAAGGAAGCAAAGATACGGGCAACGCCGAAAACGAGCTTGCCTATTCGGCGTTCAATCAGTCAAGCTCAAGGATCGGGTCAGCTGAGAAACAACTCTTACCATCTCCGGACAGAGGTCCAAGAGAGACATTTTCGGTGGCGGGTCGCTCGGTCTTCTTCTTTGGAGGCATTTTGGCGGCGGTGGATGGAGGATGTTGTGGATAGCAGCAAGAAGAGAAGAATTCGGCTCTTCGTCGCTATTTTGATTTCGATTTCTTTGGCACTAGGGCTTCGACCGGTGTGCCCTAACTTCCAGACAGGGAGGGCGGTTGCTGACTAAGCATGCTAGCTGGCTGAAAGTCAAAATCGGCCTCGAATTAAATTTTCTCTTCTTTCTCTTCTTCTTCTTCTTCTTTCAACGCTGCAAGGTCGACTGCACGTCAATTCCCACAGCTTCCTCTCCACAGAAGGCACTGTGGCAGTCACTTGAGTGTCTTCTGCAATACACACACCTATATATATTCATCTGGGGAGAAGCGTCTCTTGCGGATACGATCCGCTGGCTTCTCTCAGACCACTGCCCACCCGTTTATAATCTGGTCATTTGTTTTCAGAGAACCTGTTGCTATTTTTCCAGGGATCAAGCAAGGTGACCTTCCAAATGGCGGACCATGATACCCGTCGAAGATCCATTGGGATCATCGGGATGGGCGACATGGGCAGGATGTACACCCAGCGCTTGAGTAAAGCTGGCTGGAGGTAAACTCCCTTTGTCTAGCTTCTTCCGCAGCGATATCGCCGCCCGTTGATGTTGGTTCATGGTAAGCTCAACCCTTTGCTATATCTTCTCTTATTTATCTGATGACTTGAGTGCATTTGGCTCGAGTATGGCTCGATACAACCATCGCACTATTCTGGTGTGGATGGGGAATATCTTGCTGTCACTGATGTAAACGCTCGCTACCTAATTTTTGCTTTGTCTGATACTTCGTTCTTTATTCGCATTTGCTATCATACACCTGCTTGCGGTTGACAAGTGCTAATCGTGATATCGAATCCAATTAGATTTCAAACCCCTGCTCGATACTTGCGGCTGATGTGTTATGCTAGCATTAATGCCTGTGACAAGCCTGCCAACTATGATGCACTGAGGCAAGAATTCGCAAACGATGTATGTTTGTTCACTAATATCATCAATTCTACATTGATGCTCAAGCCTTTTTTTGCCGAGTAGAAAAATACCAATATATTACCCAACGGACACTTGGTCTCCAGAATTAGCGACTACATTATTTACAGTGTAGAGGCGGAAGCCATCAGCAAAATTGTCGCGGAGTATGGTCCATGTATGCAAAGCCGATTGAATTCATAACTATCATCAAATTTTGTCTGACAAGTCCAAGCAACCAAAGTTGGCGCAATTGTCGGTGGCCAAACTTCCTGCAAAGCCCCCGAGTTGGCCGCTTTTGAGAAATATCTTCCTGATGATGTGGAGATCATCTCGGTCCATTCGCTACATGGACCCAATGTGAACACCAAAGGACAACCGCTGGTATGCATCATCATATAGGCTGTGAACCATGCAAGTAACCGTTTAAATCTAGGTTCTGATCCAGCACAGAGCCTCGAAGGAAAGCCTCAAGTTCGTTGAACTTGTATTCTCGTCTTTCGAGTCTAAATATGTGTATCTTAGCGGAGAAAAACACGACCGCATCACTGCTGACACGCAGGCTGTAACTCATGCTGCATTCTTGAGCATGGGAACTGCATGGCATGCGAACAACCAGTTTCCATGGGAGATTCCTCGATACGTAGGCGGCATTGAGAATGTGAAGATCAACATCACTCTGCGAGTTTACTCGAATAAGTGGCATGTCTATGCAGGTCTGGCGATATTGAATCCGGCTGCTAAAAAGCAGATCCGCCAATACGCGGAATCCGTGACAGAGCTCTACAAATTGATGCTCGGTGGTCATCGAGAGGAGCTCAGAAACAGGGTCAAAACCGCGAGAGCCGCCGTGTTCAAGTCGGATGCTGTGAAGCAGAATTTATTGCTTGAAGACGAAGTCCTAGACCGGTTTTCCCTGTCGAGAGGGCTGACAGAGAAAATGCCCAATAACCACCTTAGCTTGCTGGCGATTGTTGATTGTTGGTGGAAATTGGGGATCGTTCCCTATGACCATATGATCTGCTCAACCCCAGTACGTATGCTCTATTTGACTGTTTTGACTTGTTTACCCTGACGCTTTATTCACATTCTGGCTAGCTCTTTCGACTCTGGCTCGGAGTGACAGAATATCTATTTCGAAAGGAAGAGTTGCTCGACGAGGTCTTGGAGACGGCTATCAATGATAATACCTTCCGTTCCGATGATCTCGAATTCACATTCGCCGCTCGTGTTAGTCTTCCTTCAAACACCGGGGCACACTTTTGACATTGAGAGCTAACTGATACTCTCGATAGGCGTGGTCTGACTGCGTTTCATTCGGTGATTTCGCATCCTACCGCGACCGATTTGAACGGATACAAAGCTACTTTGCACCGCGGTTCCCTGAAGCTGTCCGAGTAGGTAATGAGATGATAAAAACAATTCTGGAGAAAACCGAGAAACCAGGGGTCCCACTCCCTTCGCGTCCTTAGACTGTATGTGATCTCTCTCCACCTTCATGCAATTTACGATCAAGTATTTGTGCCCGCAGTGATTGTGTGGTGGGACGTCGAACTAAGGATTATCCAATTCTCCTTTTGATGAATCTTTCGGGCTTATATTATCTGAAAAGTGAGGTAAATGGGGGACTGGGTTTGCCATTCAGGCTTGTTAGCGACATTGAGCGACATCTCAACGATTCCACAGGCTAGCTGCCGCTATTGATAGTCTCGGGGACAATATATAGATTCAACAATATATCAATATAAGAATATCCATATCTTGCACAAGGACAACATAATCAACAGTTCGTACCTTTAGATGCTCCCTTAGCATAGCCCTTCTAGCAGCTAGGTGTGCACGGAGGGGGTTAATGGGAGGCTGATGCACGGGGCATTGTTTAATTCTGAGCAAGTATGTCCCTTGCCGTCTTACGTATACCTTTTCGATACTTGCTCTTCATGGGTAGCAGAAGCTTGAACTTCGGACGAATGGTGCCATTTGAATGTGCAGATCACGATGCTGTGTAAGGTGTATGGACGGGAGTATTAACAATCATGAGCTCTATTTATCGGCCCCGATTTGAGCCTGTAGAGCAAGGAATGCCTCTCAAAGACCTGTTATAAATTTTTGATTGGACTCAAGAACAGCTTCCCAAAGCTGGCAACATAGCCGTTCACAGGTTCTTGTTGTCATTCGTTATACGCCCATGCAATGCCCCTGTTGCAATGTGTTTCCCAACTGCGAAATCTTGATCGAAGAAGGTTCCTCAGGGTAGCATCAGGTTGCTGGCAGCTTACTAACAGCCTGCTTGCCAGAGGCTGATGGTTCTTCACAAGGGGAAATTGTCAGTTGCATTGAATTTCAAAGTCTTGCGATTCGTGCGAAATGACGGATGTCTCGACAGGGGTATTGTGTCCCAGGAAAGTCGTTTTGATTCCATCGTTGGTGTATCCTGGCTTCGGAGGGCGCATCTTGGACTGCTAAGAGGCCAAGTCTTCTCTCTCCGGGGAGAATGATGCAGAACCGGTCTGTAGCAGGAATCATAGAAAGGTTCCAAGTTGGACTCGACAGCAAAGCCTCAAATGAGTTGCGTTTTGAACACGAGATGGATCGCGACAACCCCTGGCACTTGACACTCAAACCAACGCTCCATGAAAAAACGGTTGAAGAGGATGGCCACGACCATCTCAGTCATCACTTATCTGCGGCCATTTCGATATTCCAAAAGTTCAAATCAGCCATGCGATCGGCTCTTTGCACACTCTTGGTGGTTGTTTCGCCTGGACAGACCGCCAAAGATCATGATTCCATTTGGTCTGCGCCTCGTCCCACCGGCTAGCTAGGCTTGGCCTGGCTGGTCAAGAGCTTTTTTTTATTCTCTGATCTGGGGCCCCCGGAGCATGATCAGACCAAGAAGCCTGAGCCAATCTTCTTTCATCTTGGGCGAGCCGTGATTCGCGTTCGATTCGCCCTCCCTCCTGAGCTGCAGATCTCCCCAGCCGAAATTACGTAGGACAGTGTTTTCTTCTGACATGGAGGAACCAAATTGAAGAGGGCTAAAAGGCCTTGTCATCCTGAGACACAGTCCAGCTGGTGGTCAGGATCGTTTTGTTTGATCGGCTGGCTGTCAATGCAGATAGAATCGGGAGCCTGCAACATTTGTTTAAAACACTTTCGTGTTTCTGCTCTCTTTATCCTCCCCAGGGACAGAACAATCGTTCGCTTCCCACTTCTGAGTATTCGCAAGTGTGGTGGTTGTGAAGATGAGGATACCTAATCTCGGCTCGGCCTCAGTTGCCCTGGCCTTTGGTACGTGAAATTGTTTGGCCTTTTAAAGTCCATGTCTAACAGGTGGCGGCAGTGTCAAGCGCGCTGGGGAAAACGGTTCAATACAGTCCTGGAAGTCAAGCTGCTGGCATAACTTATCATGTCAACATCCCGTCGTCCACCGCGTCCTCCAAGTCCGGCCCCATATTCTTTCAAATCTCGGCGCCAGATGACATTCAATGGGTCGCTTTGGGACAAGGCACTGGCATGGAGGGCGCAAATGTCTTCATGCTGTATTCTGCGTCCGCTTCGAATGTGACACTTTCCCCGCGGCTCGCGAAGGGCCTATATCAGCCTGAAGTGAACCCCAAGTCGAAAATTTCCCTCCTCGACGGCACAGGAATTATCAATGGCAAGATGGTTGCGAATGTGAGATGCGATAACTGCCTATCATGGGAAGGCGGCTCCATGGACCCGACAGACACGATGAGCTCATGGCTGTGGGCGATGAAACGGGGAAGATCCATCAAATCGTCGAATGTCGATGAGAACCTACAACGGCATGACGACAAGGGGTTATTCTACTTTGATTTAACGCAGGCGGTCGGTGGTAATTCCGACAATCCATTCTCCGATATGCCTTCAGATGCCCCGTCTCCATCTTCTACCGGCTCCCCCGGCTCTGCTCCCGCACCAGGGGAGAAATCAACAGTCGAAATTAGGCGCATTGCTCATGGACTGATCATGTCGATTGCTATCGTGGTTCTCTTCCCGCTCTTCGCATTGACAGTTCGCACCATCCCGTCGAAGAGGACTGTTCCATTCATTCATGCTCCACTTCAATTCATCACCCTCTGTTTAGCAATTGCCGGTGCCGGCATCGGAATATCGTTGGCCATGGATCTGAAGGTTATCTCAGGCTACCACCCAATCATCGGACTTGTTACCATTGGGTCGTTGCTCCTTTTCCAGCCGGCGCTTGGCCTCGTCCAGCATATTCATTTTCGAAGAACCGGCGAGACGAGCTCCTTTGGCATTATCCACCGCTGGGGTGGCCGTCTCCTGCTGGTCCTGGGCGTCATCAATGGCGGGTTGGGTTTCATGTTCAGCGGAATCGGAAACCCCGGCGTGCCAAAAGCGGGCGCTATTGCATATAGCGTGATCGCGGGCGTTATCGGGCTCATCTACGCGGGAATCATCGCCGTGAAATCGATGAAGTCGAAAATTAATGACAGTGCTCAAGTAAAACTCGATAGTTTTAACGGCAGCCCAAGACTAAACACCTCCGTCGGCCAGGGGAATGGAGAGAGGATATAGGTTCCGATGTACTTGGATTTATTTTCTTTCGTTCAAATTACCTTTTTTCTATCCGCTTTATGCGTTCCAGTGTTATGATGGGTCGGCTTTCTACATTTCATGACTAGTCCTTGCCTTTATATGCCATTTAAATGAATGCTTGTAGCGCAATCCAAACCAGAAGTTAACCACTTGGTGGTCATTAGTGTTATTCTGATTCAAATCTAGGACTTCCTTTTGTTTAACTCCGAAAATTGCATGCTTGTGAAGAAGCTTAATCTTAAGCTTGAGTTGGAAGTGGACTAAAAGTGCCATATCCCTGAAACTATCAATGAGAGCGGCTGTATTTCCACGCTTGTGTCAGGAACACACTTTCACGGTAGAAAAACTCAGGAATTTGGCTCTGATCTGACACTTGTGGCGGATGACTGCTAATATGGATGTGCTTTGGACCTTTATTTGGGCCAACCCGCAACGGCTACGAGGTGCCTGGTTTGTCAAGGCAGCATGAGTCCCTGTGTGTAGCCGCCTAGTTTTGATAGTTACCCCTAAGGCTAGTTACCGCCCACAGCTTAGCGCCAGCCGGGGAAATGTCACGAAGTTAATCTCAGGCTGCTCCCTGACTTAAAACCACCCCAGAATCTCACTTCCCCTTCATTATCTCTGCAAAGGAAGAAAGACACTGTTTCCCTCCAATGTAAGTAGCAATCTTGCTTGCGGGCCCAACTCGCCTTCCCTTCAGTCTTGTGGTCTGAGCAACGCTGTGAATGTCAAGGTGCCGCTCGAGCCCTCTTGACTTCCATAGCTTCCTCATTTCCCCTTTCTTCTTCCCCTGACACTACATCTTATCTTCCACCGCCAACGCTGACCGTCTCCAAGTGTCTGGTGCTTCAAAGGATCAGGCTAGTTTGCAAATTAATGGCAACCTATAATAGAACTGAGAGAGGCTCTTCTGAGTTTTCTCTGCCAAGGTACGCACTACAGTCAAGCTAAACTATTCAGCCCCTCAATGTGACTTCCAGCGTTTTGCCATATCACTATGTTTTCAGGTCGGTTTGTGCAATCTTGGACAAGGCTGACTGATTGTTTCTGTGTCCAGCTATGGAAGTATTCCGGAAAGTGTATGGGCCCGCAATCAACGACACACATGCCCTTACTGACTGTGGGCATTTCCAGCATGGATCGTCGTTGACATCCCATTCTGACATTGCCACTGTCACAATTTCCAAGTCTGAATATGATTTACTGGTGGGTATCTCATTTGTTATTCTCACAATGGCTCAGGTTTGGAGGCTAATGGTCTTTGCTGTAGATCCGCCGGTCTTGTGAATATGGTACGGCTACCTCTACATCCTTACCCCTTTTTTTTCGACCATACTCTAAGTATACTTGTGGTGGTACCAGAGAGACTGAAGCAAGCTTTAATACAAGGCGGCATACCCCAGTCGTCTCTCGAAGTGAGGGTATCCTACCTAGCGTAATTCGGAACTCTATTGACACAAATTCGAGACTTTGGTCTACAGTCCCGAAGATTCTTATGAAGTCCCCCGAGAAAGCGGACACAACTCTGACCTAGCCTGTCGTGACTCACAGCCTGTTTCTTACCTTGCACAATCTGCGACGGTCAACCAAGCAAATCAAGCAAGTCCATCACACTATCCCCAACGCAATGCGATGGAAATGAATGTACACCGACCAGCTGGGGTGCCCATCCGTCAAGAGCCTTATGATCATGACGAAGTCTCGACTCCGAGTGATGAGAAATCGGGTTCCCCATATTCTGGCAACGGGCATACCGCTTCAATGAAGTCCCACGAAAATGGAGCTGAAAATCGTACAGTCGTGCTAAAAGGCATCCCAGAACGCACTACACACGCTGACATTACCGCTGCTATCCGTGGAGGAGCACTTGCCGATATCTTCCTTCGTGCCAGGGAACGGGCCGCAACTGTCTCGTTCACTTCTAGCAAAGCTGCCCAAGAATTTCTCCTATATGCCAAACGAAGCCACTTATGCATACTTGATAAGCCTGTGAGTTTGAGGAGTAGCTTTCCTTGATGGCTGGTGACTCACAGGCCTCCTAGGTTGATGTTTCCTGGAGCGACCGCCAATTTATTCTATCGAGTTACGTTGCTTTACAGGTTTCTAATGGAGCAACCCGAAACATTTTAATCCGCGGAGTCCACCCAAATTTGACAGAGGGCCAAATCCGCGAGGACATGGAGCATATTCACAATCTAGTGATCGTTTCCATTACATTCTCCCAAGGTAACGCCTATATCGCCACCAATTCAGTTCAGAAGGCATCATTTGCACGCAACTGCATGAGATCTCGCATGCCCTATAAGCTTATGAGGATTGAGTACTACCCTGACGAATGTGCGGAACCATTGCCAAAGATACAGAATGTACCACGGAAGAATATTCCTCAACCAGTGAGAAAATTGAACCCGATGGCCAATCGATTCGAAATGCTTCATTTAGATGAAAATGAGGATGATTCCGACGAAGCCGAGGAGCTGACAAGCTGTGCTTCAATTGCAGGGGGAGTCAATTGGACCAACACCCCCATCGCTGTCTAACTATTAACTCGACGGCTGCTGGTTTTTTTCTTTTCTTATCTCCTAACTAATTATTGCATTACTTGGAGCATCCACACGCACCGCCCGGAGCACAATACTCGACCATCATACCCGTCTATTCTATGTTTCAACTCTGCGCCGTTTTATGGTTTATATGCTCTTATTAGATACCCAATATCTTTGAAGCTTCCCTGGGTTTATGGTGTGGAGACTTGTCTTTTCTATCTCTTTCGACTTTGGGGTATGAGGTGCGGCCGGTTGCAATACTCATCTAGAGCCATAGTTGCTATTTGCTATAATAATTAACAAGCCCAACGTGGCCTTGAAAGTTGACCATATAGAGTCACCCGAGCGTGAATACTTGTAGCTTCTATTTCACGTGATCGGGATCCAGAGATGCACGCTAAGATAAGATAAGCACAAAGCACTCACATTGAAGCGAAAATCGAAAACCTGAGTTCAACATCAAAAATTCAGCAGGGCAGCAACCTCGACGTCAAGGCGTACGCGTAGCGCACCGTACCCTCTTATACGAAGCGATTGAGCTTAATCACAAGACCGTACCTATCAATTCTCCCTCCGTGCGCGCAGAAATGTCAGTCGACGCTCGCACAGCGTACCCGGCCAGCCGACCGGCTCCCAACTTGCAGGATGAATCAGATGTTGAAGAAGAGGCACTCGTGAACAATTATAAGGAGCAAGTACACTTCGACGATGGAATGAGTGAATTGGATCGCACCACCTCGTTAGGAAGTGCCTCGCAGGCACAGGGTATCCAAGCGCAGCTGGCGGCGGCAGCGACTCCGCTCGAGTTCCAGGCGACCCTTGAGACCAAGTTTGCGAGCTACGATAATTACTGCAATCTGTTCCATTATATTTTAAACTCTGATGGGCCGGTGGATTTGGAAGTGCCTTCTGTACGTCGGGCTTTTTTTTTTTTACTTTTTCTGGAATACTTTTGGGTGAAAGACAAGGCTAACATTGATATGAATTGTTTAGTATTACTGGGCTTGGGACGTGATTGACGAGTTCATCTATCAGTTTGAATCATTTTGTCGTTATAGAAACCGGGTTGCCCGTACCGGATCGAACGAGGAGGAAGCACAGCTGCTCCGGGAAAATCCCAACACTTGGGGATGCTATTCCGTACTCAACGTCCTCTACTCCCTCATTCAACGGTCTCAAATTAGCGAGCAACTGGCAGCCATAAAGCTCAACGAGGACCCCATGGCCGTTGCTGGGGAGTATGGGTCTCGCCCTCTTTATCGCATGCTCGGATATTTCTCGATCATTGGCTTGCTACGGGTCCATTGCTTGTTGGGTGATTTTAGCTTGGCTCTCAAGACTCTTGACGATATTGAGATGAACAAAAAGGCAATGTTCGCACGGGTCATGGCCGCCCACTTCACCACGTACTACTACGTTGGTTTCTCATACATGATGATGCGCCGCTACGCGGACGCCATCCGCACCTTCAGCCACATCCTGGTCTACGTCTCAAGAACCAAGAACTTCCAAAAGGGACGGGAGAGCTATGACGCGATTGCGAAGAAGAACGATCAGATCCTTGCGCTCGTCGCCATTTGCGTCGCTTTCCACCCAACCCGTTTGGATGACACTATCCACTCCGCCCTGCGTGAGAAGTACGGAGATCAGCTCACTCGTCTCCAGCGTGGTGGACCAGAGGCGCTCCCACTATTTGAAGAACTTTTCCGTTCTGCTTGCCCCAAATTCATCAGCCCAACTCCACCTGATTTCGAAAACCCAGGACTCAACGTCGACCCAGTTGACCATCATACCGCCATCTTCATGGACGAAGTTCGCAATACCCTTTACAACCCAACTGTGAAATCTTACCTGAAACTTTACACCACCATGGATTTGAAGAAGCTTGCTGGTTTCCTTGATGTCGAACCTGAGCAACTTCGGTCTTGGCTTCTCGTGAACAAGCTCCGCAGCAGACAGGTAAGATGGTCGGAAGGAGGTTTGTTGGAGGGCGAAGTCGTCAACTCTGGTGATTTGGATTATGCGATTGAGGGCGACTTGATTCATATCAGCGAGGCCAAGGCTGGTCGAAGACTGGTGGATTGGTATTTGCGCAACCTTGCTAGGACTTATTGAACGGCTCAAAGAGGATTAATTGAGGGTGGTTTCCGAGTTTAGCCCACGTTCTCCGAATTGCGCAGATAGTGTTCTAGCGGTTATGGGGAAAAATTTGTTTTGATGCTACTCTTTTATCTCTTTATGGCTATGAGCAGAAAGACGCGGAGTCTGTGTTTGGATTTTCCCGTCTCTAAACGGCCTATGTTGTTCAGGAATGATCTCTTATCAAGAGCGTCATGATCATGATTTCCATTACCTCTTATTAGGCGCCCTTGGTCTATGTTTTTTTTCTATTATTCTAATGGCTTATTCCTCTTTCACTACTCGAAACTTTTCGATTCATGGCTTCAAGACGCGCATCCATTGCTCATGGTTTCGGCATAAAATTGGATGATTGTGTGTTTCGTTTTTTGCTGCCAACGTGCAAAAGTCTATGTCGTGTATTATACAAAAAGAAGGCATAGAAATGCATACATGGAGGAACACGCGGGCCCATGTGTCTATGTAGCAGGTTGTCGCAAGCCGTGGCAAGGTGCAGACCTGTACCTATACGGCCTTGGTACGGCCTTGGAGTAAACAATTGCATTCCAAATCATCACTCGGTAACATCGAAGCTCGTCCCACAGCCACAACTACTCGAAGCTCTCGGGTTATTCACAATTTTGAACTGACTCCCTATCAACTCAACGGTGTAATCGATCGTACTGCCTTTAAGCAGTTCCAACGATGCAGAGTCCATGACCACTTTCGCCTCGCCCGCTGGCGGGGTATTGGTTTGTGAAGCGTCTTCCGAGTCTGCTTCGAAAACAGTGTCCTCCTCCCGATCGATTTTAGAGGATGGGTCGAGGGACATTAGGTATTGGAAGCCATGGCAACCGCCGCTTGTGACGGTGACGCGAAGATGATCGTATGGTTCGGCCTTGGAAGATTTGGATGAAGGGTCGGTTAGTTCTCGGAGGCGCTGGTCGTCAGTTGTTAGCTATTGCGGCTCAAGCGACGGCGCAGAATCGAGAGACAAGAATGGCAAAAGGAAAATAAATCGCAACAACAAAAAAACATACAACAGCCGGGATTCGCTGGTGGTCACCCACCCAACTACTAGCCGGCCGGCAAGTGGCTTAAGTACGGCTGAGCGGACGGGAAGCCCTGTTTTCCACTTCCTGTGGTCGTATGTGCTTGGTATGTAAAGCAACTTGCATTATCATCGCGGAAGAGGATTTTGATTTTGGGGCCGGCAAGCAGAAGTTGATCAACCATACCTTTGCAGCACGAGCAGATATCTCAACCGTCATCGGATTCCCATCATCATCGGCCCTCGGATTTAAAGAAACGGTCGTCTTCTGGTTCGCAGCCGTCGTTGAAAATGCTAATCGACGATCGAGCAAGAAGCGGCTCTGTGCTTGGGTTTGGCGGAAGCCTCGAGACGCTCGGGAAATCCGCTGAGGTGACGAGGTCAAAGAGGCAGAGTGAGGACCGGAACGGGTTCTGAACCAAGCAAAGCGCTGTTTTGAACTGGTCGAGGAAATGTGACGCGCGCATTGTCGGGAGAGGGATGCGGCGGGAGAGCTTGGACACTGGGTGAGCCGACAGCCCACCGAATAGAGCGTTCGCTGTGACATTGTGCGATTTATTGGCAGGCGGGAATGCAGATAAGAAATGGGATTCTCAGTCGAATCTGGAATTATCCGTTGCCTCTCGCATTCAGTTCCATCGCGAGATTCTGACTAAGTTGAATCACGCCACTCCGATTGGCTCACTGCGGACATCTTGCGCAAAAAGCTCATTCTACGATGGAACTACATAGACTGGTAGATATGCGGAAGAACAGAGTCAAATGATAGCGGCTAAGTAGCTGAGTCCCTTATTATTCTCACAATGCTCACAGCGATTTTACTGCAGATCCATACACTCGACGCCACAGACCTCTACAGGACCAGCACGTAATTATTCCTCAGTATTAATAGTCAGGGAATTCACGCCACATGATATCCGCAATCCGATCGATCGGCGCCAGCATAAACGCTGATACGGTTTCGAAAAACGGCTGAGTCGGCGCGTTCGGGTGGGCTCTGGTGGGCATCAAAATCTTGGTTCGTTCAAATCTCCTGGAGATCTGTTCCGACACCGGCTCATCCAGCACCGACTCCAGAGATGGGAGATCTTCGTCCTGCTCTTCGTCAAAGTGTTGGTTCAGTTTGCTCATGAGCTGATCTAGCGTGACGCGATATTGCGGATCACTAGCCGACATCTGCTGGAGCTGGGCGAGGGTAGTTTTGATCTATCATTTCCAGCCTTGTTAGCATTTCGACCAACTTCTTGGGGGGCTATCCGTAGCCATACCTGTTGGTTTTCATTCCTCTCCTTATCGGCTATGACTTTGCCGTGATCCATATGAGTCTCGAGGGCTGGGTAGACAACGAGCTCCTCAGCCACGGCATAGCGGGCGAGCTCCCAACCAAGCTGTTATCGTTTCAGTGCAGGAGGAAAATTTGGGCTCATGATACTGGATGTTTACCTGGTTGCCCCAGCGCTGCATTGTTTCGGCATCCGGGGCCTCAATGGTCTTCTGGTAGTGATCGCGCATCTCCTCCTGATCCTGCTTTATCGCATCTGAAATCCGAACCATCTTGAAAGCGATTGTCGCTCAGCGTTGCTAGGTGTGTGTGTGTGTGTGTGTGTGTGTGTGTGTGTATACTATTATTGAACGGTATGTGATATATTGGGCCGTCGTCCTCGATGAGAGTTCAAAAGGGCCACCTTGGTCTGGCAGGGCGAGATAGTGGCCATTTCATCTATATATGCTCCTACCTTTGAGGTCACCGGGCAAAGAGTTCCCGCTGCTCGCCCGTGATGCTGCTCTGCGATTGGCAAATATTGTGGGATAAGCTCTCGTTCACGTCATTTCGATGAAGCTTCCAGATATTCCAAGATTCGGTGCTTTCTGGCTGTTGTAGATCGAGCAAGAAACCGGTTCAGCCACACTTGATTGACCAGGCTCGCTATATGCAAACTAGTCGATGGTTGGCTCGTAGGAATTGAGGCCAGAGGATGGATAGATGTATATTAGGCAGTTCTCAATAAACATCTAGAGGAGGGCGTAACGGGCTACAGTTTGTTTGGTCGTTAATCCGGCCCCGCAGCCTCTAGATGCTCCTCGTTCCGGTGCGATGCTCTGCACACCTGCATTCCATCACAGTTGATTGTACCTTGGGACCTAGAGTCGAACATGGCCTCGCTTGTTGAAATCGATTCTCTCGACATTACAGTCATCGTCGACAATGAACTTGATGTCATGTCCCCTCCCCCGCCAAACACGGTCCAGTCGACCGGGTTGATGGGGAACATCGCACTCGAATCTCCCCATGCCTTGCACGATAGAGGGGATGCTTCCAAGGAGCTTCGCATGAGCAGCATTTGCTGCTCCGCCCATGGGCTCTCAGTGATGATCGTAAGCCTCCAAGACTTGTGGATTTTCAAGCCGGCCGCGGGATGAGCTTATGCGTGATTCGACAGACAGCTACAAAAGGAGATACCAAACATACGGTGCTGTTCGACACCGGTCCCGAAGAAGCCGTTTGGGAACGGAACGCCAATCGCCTGCGGGCTGACATTTCGACGATTGAGCTCATCCAGCTATCGCATTGGCATCGAGACCACTCAGGTATGAATGAAATGTGGCCCGGGCTTGGGGGGCGTTGAGGATGTTGACAGCTCGACATGGATAAGGCGGCATGCTTCGCGCGATACGAATGATCCGAGAAGCACAAAGGGCGAATGGTCGCAGCGGCCACGATCTCGTGGTTGATCTGCACGACTCACGGCCAGACTACCGGGGATTTACAATTGGCTCCGAGACAGTTTCACTGGAGGCAGACCCCACATTCGAGGAGATTGAGGATGCTGGGGCAAGGATCGAGAAGAGCACAACCCCCCATACGGTGCTGGACGATATGTTTCTGATTTCTGGGGAGATTCCGCGGGTGACAGAGTACGAGACCGGTTTGAAGCATGCAGTGCGCTTTGATAAAGCAACCGGTACATGGGACAAGGACGAGGCGATCAGGGATGAACGACTGCTTGCATGTAATGTGAAAGGTAAGATAGAGGGCGGTCGTCCTTGACTGTGCGGCTACTCGGAAGCTGATAAGATCTCCCTAGACAAGGGTATTGTGATATTCACCGGCTGCAGTCACGCCGGCGTTGTAAACGCGTCGAGGCACGCCGTGGATTTGGTGGGGAAAAACGTCCCCGTCTACGCAATTTTCGGTGGATATCATCTTGCCGGAAGCGAGCCCGCCCATATCGAGGCCACCGTCAGAGATCTCAAAGCGTTGGAGCCCAGGCTTCTGCTGCCAGGCCACTGTTCCGGCTGGAGAGTGAAATATGAGATCGAGAGAGTCATGCCCGGTCGTCTGCTTCCGGCGACAGTTGGCGCCAAACTCGCATTTTGATGATGTTGATAATTTCCCATCTGCTTTTTCCGTAGTGTTTCGCAGTGCCCCCCTCCGCCGGAAGATAAACTCCTTCGAGACCGGCTGGCACCGGATATTTAACCGTTTTGCCTCTTTGCAAGCTCACTAGCTCTGAAATCATGCCTAACGCTCTTCTTCTGCCGAAACTCAGCCAAAGCTGGCGATGGCTCGGACTATGTAACCCTGGGCAGCCAGGAGTGGGGTGAAAGTCAATAATATCAGTGAAGGGGACCTTGACCCTCGCCGCTGGAGGCATAAAGTAGTCAAACAAGGCCTCGATCAGCTCTGCAAAATTGAAAGTAGTTAACTATACATTCCCAAAACCACAATGGCAGACGGTCTCAAAACAGAACTCCCCTACAGGGGCTCATCTTTTGGAAGGGAATACGCCGAGTCGCTGGATGCTGCAGATCCGCTTCGCGAGTACAGGAACCAATTCATCATCCCGTCCAAAGCAGATCTGAAGCGAAAAACTATTGCTGTCGCGGAACAAGGTTGGATCTTCCCTTGCTGCGACATGTAGGCACGGTTAGCTGACCAACACCCGGTTTACTAGAGAGCCCGTCTCCCGACTGCATCTACTTCTGCGGAAACTCCCTTGGCCTTCAGCCCAAAAGCACTCGTACATACGTCGACAGTCTTTTGCAGACATGGGCGACCAAGGCCGTCCTCGGGCATTTTACGCGGCTCGAAGACTCGCCTTTCCCAGCGTATATGGACTGCGATGATGCCTCTGCGAAGCTGATGGCCGGCGTCGTGGGCGCGCTTCCAAGTGAAGTAGCCGTCATGAGCACGTTGACGGGTAACCTGCATCTTCTCATGGCCAGCTTCTATCAGCCAACAAAGGAGAAGTATAAGATAATCCTTGAGGGGAAGGCTTTCCCTAGTGACCATGTAGGCGGACGGGCATCATACTTGTTCTTTGCAGGGCTGTGGCTGATACATTTTTGCTCTAGTATGCCGTCGAATCTCAAATTCGGCTCCACGGTTTTGATCCCAAAGATGCCATGGTGCTCATTGAGCCCAAGGATCTAAAAGACCCCGTTCTTCCGACAGAAAAGATCCTCAAGGTCATCGACGAGCATGCTGATAGCACTGCCTTGATCCTGCTGCCTGGCATCCAGTATTATAGCGGACAGTATCTCGATATCCCAACCATTACCGCCCATGCCCACTCCAAGGGTTTACTTATCGGCTGGGATTGTGCCCATGCCGCTGGAAATGTTGAACTGAAGCTACATGAGTGGGACGTGGACTTTGCGGCTTGGTGCACCTACAAATACCTGAATTCGGGACCCGGTTCCATGGGAGGTTTGTTTGTGCACGAGAAGCATGGCAAAGTTGACATGCAGAACAAAGAGGACCCTTATAGACACCGGTTGTCTGGCTGGTGGGGTGGAGACAAGGACCTGCGATTTCTCATGGATAACAGTAAGTTGCTCTCGGAACATGGTGACAAATGGCCCTTTTCAATCCGTTAACAAGATCCCTACCAGAGTTTGTTCCTCGTCCTGGCGCGGCTGGATTCCAGCTCTCGAACCCATCCGTGCTTGATATGAGCGCTGTCCTCGCTTCGCTTGACATGTTCGACAAGGCTACAATGGCTGCAATCCGGAAAAAGTCCCTTGCTCTAACTTCGTATTTGGAGCACTTACTCCTTAACTCCCCCAGCAATGTCCGTCCGGACGGTGAGCTGTTCACCATCATAACGCCGTCGAATCCCGAAGCTCGGGGAGCACAACTAAGCGTGCTGCTGAAACCCGGGTTGCTCGAAAGCATATTCGGTCACTTGGCCGACAATGGCATTATCCTCGATCAAAGAAAGCCTGATGTGATCCGCGTAGCCCCGGCACCATTATACAACACATTTGCCGACGTCTGGGATTTTGTTCACGTTTTCTTTGAGGCCTGCCGCAAAGCAGGCCAGGAGAAAGATCAGGGAAATTAAGGAAAATTTCTCAATAGGAGTTGCACGGCCATTCTTCCATATCGCCCTTTAGCATGGTGTACATACATCTAACCGTCGCCTTTATGTTAGGACTTAGTAATATAACTATGGCTTGATGCTAACAAGTAAATCATACTGCCAATAATCAAGCATAAATTTCCTTACAGTATTGTGCTGGAGCTGCGTTTTCAACATTGACCCCAGGTTTCCTTTCATGAAGCTTGTAAAACTCAGGGGTTGACAGGCCATGTCATAGTAATTCTTTGGCAGAATCTGGAGATGAACAACATTACACAACAGTGGTTTTGCGGGTCCTGTCCTGCAGGGCCCTTCATACCGGGAACATGCTCGCGGTGAAGCTGATACTTCACCCAATCTGCCTTGTCTTTTCTGGTTGAAAACTTTCATAGTGGCCCGGAAGGATGCAAGCTCCGTGTTTGCCTGCGCGATGCATATCTAACCCTTTCCAGTCCGTAGTCAGCATACCGGTTTGGGGAATACTCGGAAGATAGTTTGATAGCATGGTTTGGGCGCCAATGTGGAGCCGGACTGCATTCCGTGCTGCCATCCCCTTTGTTCCCGCGCTTAACGGGCAACAATCTTGCAGACACAATGGGGAGAGGTGCCACAGGAATGGGCCCCGTGGTTCCTGCAGCGCGACGGGATGTTGCTGTGCATGACAGATTGTATTTTGACCTTGGTTCTTTTCTCTTGAGCTCAAGCCGGCATTTTTATCCCGTAATGGGGGAAGATCTGGCGTGCATGGCCCTGAAACTATCATGAACAGGTGGCCGGGCGATTGTTGGCTTGCAATTATGAACGGCAGGGTTCATCATGTAGGTGTTACGGCATGGTCCTCAACTGGCATTCTCCTTGCTCTTGCTGTGCAGTTCTGGGATCAAGATCGGGATTGATAGGCATCGATATCACAAGCATGCTAGCGGTAACGATCACATTCAAGAGAACGCGAATCCCAGCATCAGTGGTTCGCTCTTTCTTGATGTCTGATCTCTGGCTTGAGCGGTGAACTTGGTCTACCTCTGTTACCCCTCATCAAGGGGAACTTGTTGTTTTCAACCCTCTGAACATCTTCACAATAGGGCACTATGGCGTCTGCTGCTCTGAGAGCCAGCGATTCCACCTTGGAGAATGGCTCATTGGCTGGGGTGGAACCAAATTGCAGTCCCAGTCTTGTTGAGAGCGGGGAGTATATGCTTGACGGCCCTCAGGAGGAGCCTGTATACTCTGTCTTTTCGCCAGGTTTGCGGCGATACATTGTCGTCTGTGCTTCATGGGCTGGCCTCTTTTCCCTTCTTTCGGCAAACATTTATTTTCCGGCGTTGAATGCCATGGGGAGAGACTTGAAGGTTTCTGCCTGGGAGATGAACTTGAGCATCACAACATATATGGTATGTATCTCGAAGTAAAAAGAGATTCCTTAATATTGACCAGTTGATGGTCCAATGGATAGGTAATGCAAGGTTTGGCACCGATGTTCGTGGGAGATTTCGCGGACACGGCAGGCAAGCGACCGGCATATATGGCTTGTTTTGCCATATATATTGCTGCGAATATTGGGCTGGCATTGCAGAACAACTTCGCGGCTCTACTTGTGTTGCGGTGCTTGCAGAGCGCTGGGAGCGGCGCGACGATTGCTCTTGCTTCTGGAGTTGTGGCTGATATAGCCCCATCAGCCCAGAGGGGGTCGTATATCGGTTATACCATGGCAGGCTCGTCGACAGGTCCTTCGATCGGGCCCGTAATCGGTGGTTTGCTGGCCCATTACCTGAGCTGGAGAGCAATATTCTGGTTCCTCGTTATCATGGCTTCGGTGTTCATTATCCAGTACAGCTTGTTCTGTCCGGAAACATCGAGGAATATTGTGGGAAACGGGTCGATACCGCCGCCGAGGTGGAATAAGTCACTTGTTTCGTATGCGGACAGGCATGAATCGAGCCAGCATGCGGATCGGCCAGCCATGAGGCCACAATGGAGAATCCCTAATCCTGTAAATGCGATATTGATCGTGTTTCGAAAGGATACCATGCTCACGCTCTTAAGCAATGCAATTATTATCTGCGGGTATTACGTGATTGCCGCTTCCATCCCGAAAATTTTTGACGAGAAATATGGATATAGCGAGTTTCAGATCGGTCTTTGTTTCCTTCCGTTCGGCGTGGGCTCTGCCGTGGCCTCAATCATCACCGGCTATATCGTCGACTGGAATTACAAAAGAATCGCCAAGGAGATTGGGTATCCCATTCAAAGAAATAAGGAGCGAGACCTGAAGAATTTCCCGATCGAAAAAGCAAGGCTTCAACTAACGCTACCGCTTCTTTTTGTCGCATGCTGTAGCACACTGGTGTTCGGCTGGACCCTGCAGTTTAATGTATCTGTTGCATTTCCCCTAGCTGCTCTATTCTTTGCTGGAGCGTCGCTGCTCGGCGCTTTTAATACACTTGGAACACTGATTGTCGATTTGCACCCAAACAATGCCGCGACAGCCACAGCCGCAAATAATCTTGTTCGGTGTCTTCTTGGAGCGGGAGCGACCGCGGGGATTCTACCCATGGTAGACAAGTTGGGTCGGGGATGGAGTTTCACTGTGGTAGCTTTCGGTATGCTCACCACGGCTCCTATGATGTTGGCTACCGTTTATTATAATCCAGGATGGAGAAAAGATCAAGAGAAGTGAAATCGATGTCCGTGGAAGGGAGTCATGATAAGGGGAAATGGAAAAAACAAATCCCAGAAGCGACTGGCAATAAATTGATAACAGGGCCGGGAAGCAAGTAACGGAGGGCTGTATATACGGAGTAGCACAGCGAAACTGCAGGCTTTCTCATCTAAATGAAAAGTAAGCCCTTTCAAGAGGTATCCTTTCCGTTTCCCAAGCAAGCCAGTCCGACCTCGTAGTTCTGAGAATATCAGTTAGCCATCGTCAAGCGGAGCATGAAAACAACATTAGTGTCGAACATACGGCAATAATCCCATCCCGTTGACCTTCCACACACCTAACGCCAGAAGCACCAATTGCATCAAAACATACACCATCTTCACTCCGATCAATTTTGTCCGGATGCCCTCCGTCTCAAATTTGGCAAAAGCAGAATTGGTCGCTAGCAAGCCTTGAATGGGGCCTTTGAACAGCATGAAAACCATCATTATACTGAAAATTTGTAGGCTGTTTCCGGACATGTACATCATTATGGCGTTCATTGGGAGTTGCTTTGCCGGCGCAAAGGCAATTTCCCAAGCTTTCTTCAGCTTGAGCGCGTCGGTTTCGGCGGAGCTTCGTGGGGATGAGCCGGAGGAGGGTGCGGACTTGAGCTGTGAGAAAATAAGAAATGCCGTAAGACTAAGAATCGCCATGTTGCCGACAGAGAAAGCAACGATAGACTCACTGGTTTTGAGCTGGTTTTTGGGGAGGATGAGTAGCCTGGCGGGTTGGGGAAGTTTGCCTTTGAGGGCTTCGGAGGCGTTGAGTTCATGTCGATGGCCCATTGAGGGAGAGCAACCGGCGAAGCCATGCTGAATATGAATAGGTCGAGTAGCGACTGGAGGCCTTTTGTGCGTCGATGGTAGGTGGTGGTGGTGGTGGATGGAATTCGCGGATGGTTGAGGCCAGGCAGTCAGTCCAGGTGGAACCGTGGCGGCTGTCTTGTGTTTGTACCGCGTCCTGCAGCCTCACAACGTTCTTCTCGTCTTCCACTCAATTGAGCCGGTAATCAACGCTGAGCTAGAGTGCAAAGAGCATACGAATCTCAGCTATCGAGTCGATTTTGCTCCCTGGCCGTTTCTTGATGTGATTGACGACGCCCCAAGCGAGAGGGTAACCCTGCCATCTACTTCCTTGTCCCGACATCGCTAGACGCAACCTCAGAAGCTTTCTCCGCAGTTAAGCAGCAGACGGAACGATGTCCTCGAGCGGGGGAGATGCGAAGCTATTTGCGAGGGTATGTGCTCTGCCCATATCTCCTGCTGCCCTTTTATTGCGCCTCTGTTTCGTTTCTGAGCTGCTATTTCATCTATTGTCTATCTTTGGCTATTAGCATCTCCGAAAAGGAGAGCTGCGGTACTTGATCTTCTGACGCATGCCCCTTTGCGTACCGGCCTCCCCCCGGAAGTCGAGATGTTTGCTGCCAGAGTGTTTATGCTGCCACATTCGGCGAGGGCAGCTCCCGCTTACAATACGCAGGGCAAGGTCAACGAGCTCCGCATGGAGCTCCATGGCGGCGGCAAAAAGGACAAAAACTACTCCTCGAAGAAGATTGCGTTGAAAAGGATCGTGGCGAATATGACGATGAGCAATAATGATATGATTGCACTTTTCCCCGACGTGATTGAATGCATGACCATTCCAAGCCTTGAAATCAAAAAGATGTATGCCGGCTCCTCCTCGCGCGAGCGAAAGTGAGAACATGGCTGACGGATATCTGGCTAGGTGCTTTTTATTCCTCGTCAATTACTCCAGAACGAAACCCGACGTCGCGATGAAAGCACTGCCATATCTACTAGATGTACGCATCGAGGGTATAACGGCCTTGGTTATTTCATAGGCTAACCGGGGGACGTAGGATATGAATGACACAAATCCCCTTATCCGTGCCCTTGCTCTGCGAACTATTTCGTATCTCCACGTTCGTGAATTTGTCGAGGCCACCGTCCAGCCGATAAAGCGGCTGCTCAACGATGGAGATCCCTATGTTCGTAAAACCGCATGTTTTGCGGTTGCAAAGCTCTATGACCATGATCGAAGGCTTGCTGAGACATCAGACTTGATCGATCGACTGAATGGCATGCTTAAAGATGAAAACCCCACCGTTGTGTCTAGTGCACTAGCTGCACTGATGGATATATGGGAAAGAAGCGAATCTATCACGCTGACGATTGATTATGCTAGCGCTTCAAAAATGATTTCCATTCTTCCAGATTGCTCCGAGTACGTTTGCTCCCGCGGCTTACCTACCTGGCATACCAAACTCACTCTCTTTTAGGTGGGGACAAACCTACATCCTCGAAGCTTTGATGTCCTATGTGCCCCGAGAATCTTCAGAAGCACTACTATTAGCTGAGAGAATTGCACCGCGCCTATCGCATTCGAATTCTGCGGTTGTATTGACCTGTATCCGTGTTATACTCTACCTGATGAATTACATCGCCGACCAAAAGCAGATTACGTCTTTAGCACGGAAGCTCTCACCTCCGCTTGTAACGCTTTTATCTAAAGGACCCGAAGTCCAGTATTTGGCCCTTCGAAACGCAATTCTTATTCTACAAAAACAGCCCGAGGTTTTGCGAAACGACATCCGTGTCTTTTTCTGCAAATACAATGACCCGATCTACGTCAAAGTCACAAAGCTCGAATTGATTTTTATGTTAGCAACCAAGGACAATATCTCTGTGGTATTAACAGAGTTGAGAGAGTGAGCCTCACTAGACCCACATCATGTACACATTATTAACTATCATCATAGATACGCTACCGAGATTGATGTGCATTTTGTTCGTAAAGCAGTACGAGCTATCGGAAAATTGGCGATCAAAATCGAGTCCGCATCCAACCAATGCATTGAAACATTGCTAGACCTGGTTAACGCCAAAATCCCATATATTGTCCAGGAAGCAACCGTGGTCATACGAAATATTTTCCGAAAATATCCGAATCAGTATGAAGGCATTATCGGAGCAGTCATGAAGAACATCGACGAACTTGATGAGCCTGAAGCGAAGGCGGCTATTATTTGGATAATTGGACAATATGCGGATCGGATAGAAAACTCCGACGCCTTCTTGCAAGATTTCTTAGCAACATTCCACGATGAACCAGTGGAAGTTCAACTTGCGCTTCTCACAGCAACTGTAAAATTATTCATACAACGACCCACCAAAGGCCAGCAGCTTGTTCCGCAAGTTTTGAAGTGGTGTACAGAAGAAACGGACGACCCGGATCTCCGGGACAGAGGATTCATGTACTGGCGGCTCCTCTCTACCGATCCAGCAGCCGCAAAAGATATTGTGATGGGTGAAAAGCCACCTATTACAGCAGAAAGTGAGCGGTTAGATCCTCGCACTCTCGAGGAGCTTTGTCTAAATGTCGGAACTTTGGCAACTGTCTACCTGAAACCTGTGCAACAGGTTTTCCGAAATGCAAGACCAAAGCGCTTGGGAAACAGTCCTGCATTACAGAAATCACCGGCAGGCGAAGCTACAGATACCCCGTTCTCGATACCCATATCTACCCTTCTCGCAGCGAGGAATGATGCTATCCCTTCAAATATTAACCCTACTTTAGGTGGCGACATGTCTGCAGCTGTGACCGCCGCTGATGTGTATTTCGCTGGAGTAGGAAGTCAACAAATGGCCGCGATGAGCTTGGCTGGCGGTGATGCCGCCGATGAGGGATCAAATGGCTTACAGTCACCGCAATATATTGTGAACCAGGTTGGCCAACAACCATACCAACCGCAAGCCGTGGGCGGGGCGGCTACGGGTGAATTGCTCCTCATCTGAGTCTTGAAGGTATTTTTGTGCATTAGTTGAAAAGGGATTTTCTGGGAAGTTTGGCAACAATACATTGTATATACCAGGCATGGAGTACTATATTGTTCTTGCTGAGATCAGAACTATGACTGCACCTAGCATTTTGCTCGCTCGCTGTTGATTTTTTTTTATTTAAAAAAAATCAATGGGAACATTCTTAAACATATGCCCGTACCAACGGCTTTTTGAAATGTATTGACATCCGTCTTCATTCTTTACCACATACTTATGGACAGATATTATGCTATGTCAAAAAGCTTGGGCCAAATATAAATCAACTGTGCTGAATGGGACAGGACAATGCTGGGTAGAAAGAGAGCCCCTGGATACCCAAACAAAGCATATTCACTGGGAGCTATGTCTTGGGGGAAAAGCGATTGAATTTCAGGAGTAAGTGAATGAGCGAGCAAGTGAGCGAATGAACCATAGCAAAACAATGTGCCGAGCTTGACAAAATGATGCATCAACCTTTATCAATTTGCCATTTTCATTCCAATTCTCCAACATGCCCATGCTAACACCTCGAAATGTGTGACAGTAGGAAAGGTTGAGAAATCTATGACTATGATTTCTCACCATCCCACCCAACCCAGCTGCGCGGCATGACTCTCCAAACACGGCATTCTCCACTCTTCAAATCCCCTAGTTTAAAACTTTCAATCTTGACCTTTTTGCTTTCTCGACCTTGCTCCCATGCTCGAACTTTCTTTTTGGTACCATCCCAGTCAACGACAATGCCAACATGATCTGGTTTTCCAACCTCAATGTTATATTTTTGATGCATTGTTCCCCTGTGACCTTGAAAGCGAGCATTCCGGAAGGTGACAATGTCGCCAGCACGAATTTCATCGTATTGTTGAACAGATGCGTTGGCTAGATTCGAATATACCACAGCACCGTACGTACGAATACCGACCGGGAGAAGAGCGTCAGAAAGTGGAGCAAGTAGTGCTTGCACCAAGGCATGGGGTGTTCCGTCGCCGACGGTGGTGTTGTGTTTGGAGGCTACAGCTTCCGAAATACGAGACCCAAACTGAGCATGAGCATTTTCGAGTTGATCTTGACGGAGTCGAGGAGGCGGTGGTTCGTGGCGCTGTTCCAGAACAACATCGCCAGGGTTTTTTGAATCAAACTGAACAGTGATAACAGTTTGCGAATAGTCCATGAATAGAACATAAATATCCTTGGAGATTGTGGTCTTGCCACCTCTTTTCGTGGATGAAGCCTCTTCAATTTCATAGAGGATGTCCTTTCTGTTTTGGAAAAAGGGTGGAGGGATTTTTGGTTGCGTCCACCAAAATGTGTTCTCCCCAAGGTCGACATCACTTGCAATATAGCCCTCCATAGACATCCGCGGAATATCCATAGATCTACGGGTATTGGATTGACTTCTAAGGAGATCGGCCGACTGACGAGACGGTTGACTTCGTGATGTAGGCTGTGGAGGGGCTTGGACTGGAGGAGGGGGAGGCTGCGCAGTAATGCGTTCAGTTGCTGGTAAGGGAGGCGAGTGGATGGAACGCCTACGTGGCGACGTCGGATAGATGTCCTCTTCGCTGGCTTCTTCTGAAGGTGATTTCGCTGTCACAGCCGGCGGGCTTTCGGAGAGAGGAACAGTGGACTGTCCATCATACCGGTATGGATCATATTCATCATCATCATCTTTTGCACCATAATCTTTAGGAGGAGGAATTGGAGGCGGAGGTAGTCTTGGCATGTCAACGGATTGACGAACCGATCTTGGGGGTTGGGCTGGAGGAGGTGGAGGGGCACCACGAGGGGCGCCGGTAAGAGGAGGAGGTGGTGGACGTATGTCGTGTGAAGTTCTGGGAGGTTGACTATTGAAGTCATCCGTAATGGTGCCTTCATCCACGCTAGAATCGCGTCCATGCGCTTTAAGAGCGTCCTTGTGCTTTGCGCCAGAAGCAATATCGGTGTCATAGTCGCCCTCGTATTCTGTGATTTCTTCTTCCGTGTCATTTCCAGCGAGCCCCGTCTGTGTCCTTGCGCTCATCCGACTATCGTTTGTTGACTTACGACTAACCGGGAAAGGCGGAGGCGGCGGAGGTGGACGACTCTGGGCGGATGGCACAATAGGAATCTGTGGAACTGGAGGTGGATGGCTTAATCGTCTCTCTTCAGTTGCTGTAGGTGACTTCAAAGGCGGCGCTACATCTTCTTTTCGGCTAGGAAGGACTGCAGTTGGACAGCTATCGCTCGATTGACTTTCAATTTGCAAAGTTTCGGGAACAGCAGAGAGCTCATCATCTGACTCTTCGCCTAGGCTCGGAGACATCGTTCTCCTAGTAGGCAGCAAAGGAGCACGGGCTGCATTTGTGATTAGCCAGAAATCATATCCACGACGTGTCGAATACTTACAGTCTGGTGCAGAAGAAGGGGGGATGGGCCGGTCGCCTGGAACGGGAGGAGGCGCTGGCCTCGAATGACTTGGCGGAAGTGGCGGTGGTGAGCGTTCTGTTTTGATTGTCAGTACATGTTTCTGAATTCTAGTATGGGCGATTCCTTTATACCTTCTGATGGAGGAGGCGGAGGTGCCCTGTCTATCTTTGGCTGTGCTGAAGTATCCGGAATCTCAGATTCCTCATTTATTATTTTAGGTGATTGGACCGCAGTGGTTACGTGCACATCTGCCTCTTCTCCCCTGCTTTCGGTTGGAGACTTTATAGTCTCTTGCTTGCGTGCTTGCATTCCTGGGAGAACCATAACCGGAACAGGAGGTGCATGTGTCGCTGGAGCTGAGCGTTCTTCGCCCGGAGATTTCATTTCATTATCAGCTGATGGAGCAGGTTTCGGTTTCTTATATCCACCACTTGGGATTCCTGGCATGCCGGGAGGCGGTCCAAACATTCCCATCATACCCATTCCGCCACTCATTTTCGCCATACGGTCACGAAGCTCCATTCTTCGCTTGATTTCGGGATCAATTTCTTCATCTTCATCTTCATCTTCGCCTTCTTCTTCCTCCCCTTCTGCTGCTTCACCCTCAGCTTCAGCCTTGGAGCCTTTGGAGTCCTTCCGGCTTTCCTGTTCACCCTCTGCCACGTCCATGCCCTGATTCATCTGTTTCTCATCGACGTCCTCTTTACTAGTTGAAGTTTCCTCGGCTTCCTCTGTGTCACCAGTGCCGGAGTAGTCGGCATCATTAGTGTCGCTTGTAAGCTCTCGTGAAGGCTGCGGAGGACTTATGACGGGTACAACGGGGTTGCGAGATTTGTGTTGAGTACCCTCGTCATGGTGATCTGTGGCTGGAGGGGACCCTCTAGCTGTTTCAGAAGTTACAGTTCTTTCCAATTCCGCACCCTGGCTGGGATCCCCGTGGTCTGCAGTTTCTTGCGGCTCTACGCGTTTCTTTGTGGGTGGTTTCTTAGGCTTTTCTTTTTTTTGAGTTGCTTCTGCATGCCGTGCTGCCTGTTCGAGTTGTTGCTTCTGTAACAGCGCAATTCGTTCCTTCAGAGAGGTAGGTTTAGGTTGGTCCTCTTCATCTCCAGCTTCCACGGGGGGTGGTGACCTAGCAGCTGGTCGCTCATGGTTTCGCTCTATTTCAGGGTCTTCCTCCCGCTTATATATCCTTGCTGGCGATGCTTCGACTGGCATGGGAACGTATGCATTCTTGCTTGGGGGTGGGGCGACGAATGGCTTTTTGATGAAGGCATTTGTATTTACCCCGGCTGGATTAAAAGGTGTGATTGGCGATGCTGCCGGCTTGTTGAACGCCGCAATTCTATCCCTAAAGGACGATCCGGTTGGCTTCTCGGCAACGGGAGGTGGCGGAGGTTTGGATTCTGCTTTAGAGGTGGTGCTCACTGGAGGCTGTGGCAGCGCTTGTTGATGTGTACCTGACGGTTGGCTTTCTATGGCTGGCGGTGGAAGGATTTGGGATGGCTTGGACTCGAACTCCTTCTCAATTGGCAATGGGGCTTCGAGTTCCGGGTTTGTTGGCGTGGGGCTGCTGACTGGTTGAGGTGGTTGGGGAGCCGCTGCCTCGACATGCGAGGGAGCTTCAGACTCCTTTTTTGGTCTACTTGGTCTTGAAGGTCGAGGTGGTGCTGGAGGATCGTATCTTTCCACGAAATTCCTGGGAAAGATTCCCTCCTTCCTGGCTCCAGTCTCATCTGTGTACTCTCCGTAGAACCATTCTTCATCCTCCTCCGCTGTCACCGTAAGGATTTGACCAATTGAAAATGTAAGGTCATCTTCATGATCAGAGGTGTATTCAAAGATCGCTTTGACAGTGAATGGAAGGGCGGGCATTTGGGGCTGTTGATGTGAAGAAGAACAATTGTCAACAAGCGTCGCGCGGGGGCGGGGTCCGGATCAGGCTGTCTCCTGGGATTATCACACGACCAATAAAACCGGAGACGAGTGCGATTCAGAACGAAATTGCAGGCCTACGCAGAGAGCATAGGAATGATTATCCTGGTATTCCTCTTAGGTTGTGTTAGGGTCCTGGAGGGTTACAGATTTAAGCATCACTGGGAGAGAAAACTCACAGTTCAGACCGAATTTCGGCGTTGAAGAGGATATGAAAGAATTATATTCAATGGATTTGCATCCTAGTGAGCCTGGTAACAGATACTGCGATTAGAAGAACAGGTGAGGGACGTTGTCGTCAGTGAGGTGTGTCGGATGTTGCTCCACCACGCCAACGCTGTTTGATAACCTAAGCTGTGGCTCGTGCAGCTCCTAAACTACGCCACCTACGGAGGCCTATAACGGCCAATCCGCCAAAACAAATTTTTGGTTACGTCAAGCCATCCTCGCCATCATTGATTCTGATCTGGACTGCTTTCTTAGGATATATTTTCTGATCTCTTCGTCAGATGGCAGCCCAACTAATATAGGCCATTTCTCAAGCTTCGTCCCTGAGCTAGATATGGACCCGTCTATCGATTCTTCCTCAACAAGTTCAACGCGCAAAACCTCCATCCCTGCTGTTCATGCTTGCTCAAACACCGCGCCGGGCTCCATGAGTTACACCCCACCGCGGGGCAGTTCGCCAAATCCACGCCATTTGGCCATCGCCCTTCATCATGCTCGTAACATCCAAGCTCGAAAAGACACAGAAGCAGCCATTCTTTCTCGCATTGAGCATTTGATGACCCTTCCCGCCGCCTCTGATGCGAATCCCGCTTCTCCTTCTGAGGAAGATGCGTCTACTTTCAAAACTGCGCTGGTTCCGTTCCAGCCTTCAGACTACGATAATTTGATCCTGGAAAGGAATATCGATGGCAGATGTGGATATACGTTATGCCCTAGAGACCATCGAAGAGAGGACACGAAAGCGAAATTTCGCATCATATGGGGTCCAAAGGGAAGTGGACCAGGCGGGAGAGGAAAAGAGATGAAAGTTGTGCCCAAGGAACAGCTGGAAAAATGGTGTTCCGATGAGTGTGCCGAGCGAGCTCTCTACGTTCGCGTCCAGTTAAGCGAAGAACCGGCCTGGGAGAGGGTAGGCAAGAAGAACGTGGATCTTGTATTGCTGGAGGAGGGAAGGCAGGGTGGTCAGGGGAAGGGAAAGCAACATTCTCCCAAAATGACACTTCTGGAACATCAGCTTCGAAGGCTTGAAGTTGGACCTTCAGCAGGACAGGAACAATCTCTCAGCTCTCGGTTTGGCAAATTAGCTATGAATGATGAAGACTCCTTGAAATTACTGGCAATGGAAAGGGGAGATTCCCTAGCGATCGCGAAGAACGAAACTGGAGTTCAGGTAAACATTCTAGAAAAGGACACAGCTCCAGCACCAGCGCCGACTCTGCAGGCAAATAACATGCAAGGAGGCTCCATTGAAGGGTTCGACCCTCAATTACACGCGGATTTACCCTCAGCTTCAACATCCAATGTCGATGGCCGATTGGAGAACGAAAACATGCTCTTTTAGCCTTTGGAGGTCAGATTTGCGTTTGTTAAGAATACCCATAGTAGGGCTGGAGTTTGAATCTTGGCGTTCAAGAGGTATGGAGTTTAAATGTCGAGCCTGGAAAATGTTCTTTCTCAGAAATATTTCAGCAGCCCTCCTTACCGTAACACATCTACATACCATTGACGGCAAACTCAGCTGCCGCGATCGGCTGGAGTTCCGCCGCATGGGGTCTCTAAAAATGAAATGGAAAGGAAACGATTTGGCAATCAAGCATCATCCTGTAAGGAATCAGCGACACCTTGAGTTCATGAAATGTCCTTGAATTTTGTATCTGCAAGCTGCCACCTATGATCCGTCGCAGACATAAAACGACATAGTTGCCATAAAAACGCCGTAATAAGTAGTAGAAGTGCGTTTATCTAAAGCGACGAGGGCGTTCCGACTGTTGAGCTTGACCGACAGCAACGACGTTGACTTTGAGTGAATCGAACTAATAAATTCAATAACATTAGTAACTAGTAAATAATCGGTGATTCGATGTTGAAATATAGCTTGCATAGCCAATACTTACACCGAGGCTCTTGAGGAGATCCTTAGTATCAGCATCAACCTCGAGCTGGCCAGTCTCAGTCTGGGAAATGTCCAGAGCAGAGATCTCTGGGACGTATTGATCCTTGCGCTCACGCTCTTCTTCTTGGAGCTTGAAGGAGATACCGCGGACAGGACCCCGTTGGATACGCTTCATCAGATGGGTGGTGTATCCGGCAATCTAGAGATTGAGAATTCGCATATCAGAACCAGACTCATTAACCTCAGCATGTTCGACTATTCACCTTGTTACGAAGACGCTTGGAAGCAATGATAGCGATCTCATCGCAAATTCGCTTGTTGGTCTCGAAGTCGAGGGTGAGCTTTGGGTAGTAGCGCTCAATGATGACCTTTGCGGACTTCTTGACTGTCTGTACGATTCATTGGTGATTTTGTCAGTCTCGGCCACCAAAGTAACATATTCAAACGAGAGGAGAAATATAGCTTACCTTCGTTCTAACGCGACCCATTTTGGCGGTATTTGTTGATGGCGCTGCAACAAGTGAGGTTGTCGAAAAGTTCGTGTTGCTCGCTGTCTGGAAATCAATATCACTCCATCGCCTCGCTTACGAAGTGCGACAACCCGCCACGTGACTGTGCCCTAAGTCACGTGCAAACATCTAGGCTTTGCGGTCCGAAATTCTAACGGTCTCAATTATCAAAGTACAGAGTAGGGAATTGATGATAGGTTGATTTCTTAATGGTTACAAATAGACAATATAATACACATCATGCTCATTTGCGATCAAGTCTCGGGACACCCTGCTTTAGGATACTGTTCGGGAGGGAGATGGAGCCCTCTCGTTTACGTTCGTAGATCCCAAGAAGAGATTTTGAAGCCTCTGATGGTCGGCCAACCTGTAGTCCGAGTTTTCCGTCTGACCGCACAGCTGCTCTTTCAGCCTTTACCCAATATTTAGAGCCACCGGGAACGTCGGGATCAATGCCGGCTGTCACCCTTATATTATTCTGCCTCCATCCCTGCGATTTCGCATCCTCCAAAACTATTCCAGCAACGCCAACCACAGTTTGTAGTTTATGCGATTTCCGAGCGCCAAGAACACGGGCTTGAACGGGTTTGTGCTGTTGTTGTGGCCCGGCAACCGGGTGGTTGTCCATATATGCTTTGGTACGAAGGTATGACAAGCCCGCAGACGGATGTGTCATCGGAGGCCCATGGTTTGCATATTCGGTGGAGGATATGTTGGAAGGCCCGGCTACCCAGCGGCGTCGTTTTAGATATTGGTTAGGGCAAGTTGGTGGTGTGGCCAAATCAAGGAATTTATGGACTTCGGGCCCAAGTGACTCTGGGTTTGCACGTAAGGACCTAAGAGCTGCCTCAAATTCCTCGTCGCCTAATTCCTGCGGAACTTGCTGTTCTTGTAGGGGCTCGCCCCGATCCAAAAGCTCTTTGCGTGCTTCCAAAACTTTGCGCTCCGCGAGGATATGACGAAGTTTTTCCAAAAATTGTGGCCTTTGTTTTCTAATAGTTTTTAAGTATATATTAAATTCGGCAGGGCTTTGTCCCGCTAGCCATGGTCCTTTAAATCTGAATCGTTTCGTATCCGGGGTGTCAGGCATTTTGCTCTCATGAGTGTTGTCAGCATTTTCTTCAAAAACACTGGCGTGGCGCCCGCCGCCGGCATCCGATGAGACACCAGTTTCGATCACAGTAGATATTGGGAGGGAGAGTTCTTGGAATTTCCTCAGCGTCATGGCATGGTCGCCCGCGGAATCGAAATCGGTGATATGTTCGTACGTGTCTATATGATTGATGCGGACGACGGGAGTCGAGGAGCTTTGAGATGTAGATTGTGCTGGAAGTGACCGTTTGAGACCCCAGTCGCCTTTTAGTAAGGAGGAAGGAGGCGTTGCGATGGCAGCACGAATGGGATAAGGAAGCGTTGCGGTCTCGGACTCGGCCACAGACGACGACGAGATAGGGGGTGCTGGCGGCGAAAGGGCAGGCGGCAGCGAGAAAACCCGCGACCTGCGGAGCAAACTAGCTGCGGGTGACAGCCTTCCCGCCATTTTCACCGGGAACAATTGCTTTGCTCGTCTTCCGCAACTCTTGACGTGGAGAAGCGAGGTACATATGAGAGTCCTTGTTTCCGCACCCAGATTGGGATTTTCTTACGGTTAGCCATAGCAACCAGCAGCGCCGTTGCCAGCGCCAAGCCTAGTTTCGGCCAATCACCAGCTTTTCCACTAGCCCAATCGAGCTTCCGCTTACATGATCACGGCCGATGCTGACATCATCCGCCCTCGACAGTTGGGTCACGGGGTGATCATCGTTTCAGCGCTAGTCACTGAGCTTCCTCATGCATAATTAGTAGGTCAAGACATCCGCGCTTCAACGGTCACTCTCCTCTCAGCTATCAATGCGATAATCGATGTTTATTTTCCACGAGGCGGATGCGCTGCTGGTTCTGGGGTGCAATCTCCAACCATGTCACAAGCATCATCAGTCGCTGATGCCACACAGAAGCTCTTTCTAGAGCTCAAGTCTAAAAACGAGGAAACCCGGCATCGAGCCGCACTTGAATTATACGACAATGTAGTAGCGGTCTCTAGAGGTGAGGGCCCATCTGGTACTTTCTATGTGTCCGCCGCTATAATGTTGACAAACTGCGATTGTTAGAACTCCCGCAAGACAAATTCCTTGAATACTACAATACTGTCAGCGGACGGATAGCTCAACTGGTGGTTACGGGAAGTGATGCGAATGAGAAAATCGGCGGATTACTTGCGCTTGACAGGCTAATCGACTTTGATGGCGTCGATGCTGCTCAAAAAACCACCCGGTTCTCTGGTTACTTGCGTAGCGCGTTGAAAAGCAATGACAACACCGTCCTTCTTTATGCCGCCACGTCTCTCGGCCGTTTAGCAAAACCAGGTGGCGCCCTAACCGCGGAACTTGTGGAAAGTGAGATACAATCTGCGTTAGAATGGCTACAATCAGAGCGACAGGAGAACCGGCGTTTTGCTGCTGTGCTGGTCATCAGAGAACTTGCCAAAGGATCACCAACACTTCTCTACGGGTTTATTGCACAGATCCTGGAACTCGTTTGGGTCGCCCTTCGTGACCCAAAAGTCCTTATCCGGGAAACCTCTGCCGACGCAATCAGCCAATGCTTTGAAATCATTTCTGCTCGAGATAGCCAGGTCCGACATCAATGGTTTGCGGGGATTTATGACGAAACTCTACTCGGCCTAAGGTCAACGAACGTGGATTGGATTCATGGGTCCTTATTAGCCCTTAGGGAGTTACTTCTTAAGGGGGCTATGTTTATGAACGAGCATTATCGCAATGCTTGTGAGATAGTACTCCGATTAAAAGACCACCGAGACCCCAAAATTCGAATCCAGGTTGCCGCAACTATCCCAGTTCTTGCATCTTATGCTCCGCTGGATTTTACGAATACCTATCTTCATAGGTTTATGATATATCTCCAGGCCCAATTAAAGCGGGACAAAGAACGGAATGCCGCCTTCATTGCCATTGGCAAGATTGCTAGCGCCGTAGGTAATGCAATTGGGCAATTTCTCGACGGGATAATCGTGTATATCCGCGAGGGCTTGACCTTGAAAGCGTAGGCCCCCCAAAAGTACCAACCAACCAGTGGACATCTGCTAAAATGCTATTACAGGCGTAACCGTGCTGCTGTGAACGAAGCTCCTATGCTTGAATGCTTAAGTATGCTAGCGTTAGCAGTGGGGCAGACGTTGAGCAAATATATGGAATCTCTCCTCGACCCTATCTTTGCTTGTGGTTTGAGCAAGGCCCTTACCCAGGCGCTCGTTGATATCGCGCATTATATCCCGCCCATCCGAGCCACCATCCAAGAAAAGCTCCTTGACATGCTGAGCTTGGTTTTGTGCGGAAAACCATTTCAGCCTCTGGGTTGCCCAGACAATCGCGCCCCGCCCATGCCATCCTTTGTCAAAGATTCTACACAGCCGCCCCAAGAAGCCACTGACAGCGAGATTACTCTTGCTCTGCTGACGCTCGGCAGTTTCGACTTTTCTGGTGAGTCCTAAGGGTCCTGTGAAAGCAGATTGTCTGACTGTAATAGGCCATATATTGAACGAGTTCGTGCGTGATGTCGCAATAAAATATGTCGATAACGATAATGCTGAGATTCGTAAAGCCTCCGCATTAACCTGCTGCCAGCTGTTTGTGCATGATCCTATCTTAAATCAAACGAGCAGCCATTCTCTCCAAGTTGTCAGCCAGGTCATCGACAAGCTGCTGTCTGTGGGAGTTGGGGACCCAGAGCCTGAGATTCGCTGCACAGTACTGCAGTCGCTGGATCAGAAATTCGATCGTCATTTAGCCAAACCGGAAAACGTTCGTTGTCTTTTCCTTGCCGTCAACGATGAAGTTTTTATGGTGCGAGAAGCTGCAATTAGTATCATCGGTCGTTTATCAAACGTTAATCCTGCTTATGTTTTCCCGCCCCTGCGAAAATTGCTCGTCAACCTCCTAACAGGGCTCAGTTTCGCCACGACTCCACGCCAGAAGGAAGAAAGCGCTCAATTGATAAGCTTGTTTGTTTCAAATGCAACGAAACTCGTTCGTTCGTATGTCGACCCGATGATAACAACATTATTACCCAAGACGACAGATTTCAACCCTGCTGTGTCTGCTACTACTATTAAGGCTATTGGGGAACTTGCAACCATTGGCGGTGATGACATGAAGCAATACTTACCTCAGATCATGCCTATTATTTTAGATGCATTGCAGGATCTATCATCACCTTCGAAAAGAGAAGCGGCTTTACGCACCCTTGGACAGCTGGCGAGCAATGCTGGATATGTCATTGAACCTTATAAGGAGTACCCACAACTTCTTGCTGTTCTAATTAATATCGTCAAGACGGAACAGGCTGGCTCACTAAGAAAAGAAACGATCAAGCTTATTGGTACCCTGGGCGCTTTGGACCCATACAAATATCAGGTAAGATGTTTCCATCCCCGAATTTTATTCTAAAATGCTCATTCAAAAACAGCAAATAAGCCAAGATACCCCTGACGTCCATCACATCAATGAAGTTCAAGCAGTATCCGATGTATCCTTAATTATGCAAGGTTTGACGCCTTCTAATGAAGAATACTATCCTACGGTTGTCATCAATACTCTATTACAAAACATCCTAAGCGAGAGCTCCCTTGCACAGTATCACTCCGCCGTCATCGACGCTATTGTTACCGTTTTCAAGACGTTGGGCTTGAAATGTGTTCCTTTTCTAGGACAAATCATCCCGGCCTTCATTTCGGTTATAAAAAATACTCCAACCAGTCGACTTGAAACTTATTTCAACCAGCTGGCAATATTGGTCACGATCGTCAGACAGCATATCCGTGCATTTTTGCCAGAGATAATAGTTGTCGTCCGCGAGTATTGGGATGCTTCCTATCAGGTTCAGGCAACGATATTATCTCTTGTAGAGGCAATATCAAAATCCCTCGAAGGTGAATTCAAAAAATACCTAGCTAGTCTGATCCCATTAATGTTAGACACCATCGAAAAGGATAATAGCCCGAGACGCCAGCCGTCGGAAAGGATTCTACATACTTTCCTTGTGTTTGGGTCAAGTGCCGAAGAATACATGCACAGAATTATCCCGGCAATTGTTAGGTCGTTTGATAAACCCCAAGCGCCTCAGAGCATCAGAAAATCGGCCATTGAAACTTTAGCTAAGCTATCTCGTCAAGTCAACGTGTCCGACTTTGCATCCCTCATGATCCATCCGTTGGCGAGGGTTATTGGAGGGAGTGACCGCACCTTGAGACAGTCTGCATTAGACTGCATTTGTACTCTAATATTCCAGCTGGGGCAGGACTTTACGAATTATATCCAGTTAATCAACAAGGTTCTGCATCTCTTACCTCCTTTGTCTGATTTCTTTACTAACTTCTGGCAGGTGCTTAAAAACAACCAAATTCATCACCACAACTATCAAATCCTCATTTCAAAACTCCAAAAAGGCGAACCCCTGCCACAGGATTTGAACCCAGATGAGCAGTATGGTTCGTTTGGTGATGATCAATCCTTTGGAGAAGTTGGCCAGAAGAAAATTCTCGTGAACCAGCAACATCTCAAAAATGCATGGGATGCAACCCAAAAGTCGACTCGGGAGGATTGGCAAGAGTGGATGAGACGTTTCAGCGTAGAGCTGCTTAAAGAATCCCCATCTCATGCCCTTCGAGCTTGTGCCAGCTTAGCCGGTATCTACCAACCACTGGCAAAGGATCTGTTCAACGCCGCTTTCGTTTCATGCTGGACTGAACTTTACCACACCTACCAAGAAGAATTAGTTCACTCAATCGACCTTGCACTTAGGGCACGAAATATACCTCCAGAAATTCTTCAAATTCTCCTAAATTTAGCCGAGTTTATGGAGCACGATGATAAAGCGCTTCCGATTGACATTCGAACACTTGGAAAATATGCAGGGAAATGCCATGCTTTCGCGAAGGCGCTACATTATAAAGAGCTTGAATTTGAGCAAGATCAGAATTCGAGCGCGGTAGAAGCGTTGATTAGCATAAATAATCAGCTTCAGCAATTTGATGCCGCAATTGGTATTCTCCGCAAGGCTCAAGCGTACAGGGACGTGGAGTTAAAAGAGACATGGTTTGTAAAGCTGCAACGCTGGGAGGAAGCATTAGCCGCCTATAAACGACGAGAATTGATTGATCCGGATTCGTTTGAGGTCACCATGGGAAAGATGCGCTGCTTGCATGCCCTTGGAGAATGGAAGATGCTTTCAGATTTGGCGCAAGAAAAGTGGAATCAAGCGTCCAACGACCATCGAATATCGATTGCCCCGCTTGCTGCTGCTGCTGCCTGGGGCCGCGGCCAGTGGGGATTGATGGATTCATACATTGGAGTAATGAAGGATCAATCACCCGATCGGTCGTTCTTCGGTGCGATTCTTTCCTTGCATCGAAATCAATTCAAAGAGGCGGCGGACTACATCGAGAAGGCTCGTAATGCCCTTGACACCGAACTGTCCGCTTTGCTGGGCGAATCTTATAATCGTGCTTATAACGTCGTGGTCCGCGTCCAAATGCTGGCTGAGCTCGAAGAAATAATCACATACAAACAGAGTGCCGGGGATTATGAAAAGCAAGAGGCCATGCGACAAACATGGAATAAACGACTCTTGGGTTGCCAGCAGAATGTCGAAGTATGGCAACGAATGCTCAAAGTCAGGGCTCTAGTCATTTCTCCAAGGGAAAATTTGGATATGTGGATTAAGTTTGCCAATCTCTGCCGGAAATCTAATCGCATGGGGCTCGCCGAACGCTCCCTCAGCTCGTTGGAAACGGTCGAGTCGTCTGAGTTTGGAATTCCACCAGAGGTGACCTATGCCCGTCTTAAATTTGACTGGGCTGCAGGTCACCAACAGGAGGCTCTTCAGGCGTTGAAAGGCTTTACTCATTCATTGACCGAAGAGTACGCAAAGTACAACAGCCTTGTCAACCCACCACATGCGCAACAACAGCAAGGCGTGGACGGAAATCATATGTCTAACGGACACGCGGAACAGAGAGAAGCTGAAATAGCTGCAATCCGTCAGCACCTTGGCGATCTTGGGAAATTCCGCCGACTTCTTGCTAAAAGCCATCTCAAACAAGGCGAATGGCAGACGGCTTTACACAGAGGGGACTGGAGATCTGACAGTGTTCGTGATGTGTTGAGCGCTTATTCCGCAGCTACACATTACAACCGCGATTCCTATAAAGCCTGGCATGCTTGGGCGCTTGCGAACTTCGAGGTTTTGAATGCTCTGAGTCCGCAGTCCAACAATGATGCCGTGTCAATACCTCACCACGTCATCAGCGAACATGTAATACCCGCTATCCGTGGATTCTTCCGGTCGATCGCCCTGTCATCATCAAGTGCTTTACAGGACACCTTGAGGCTTCTCACACTCTGGTTTACCCATGGAGGCGATGCAGAAGTAAATAGTGTCGTCACTGAAGGTTTTGCGACGGTTAGCATTGATACCTGGCTTGAGGTTACGCCCCAGCTTATTGCGCGAATAAATCAACCCAATCCTCGGGTCCGCGATTCAGTTCACCGTCTTCTTGCAGAGCTGGGTAAGGCTCATCCGCAAGCGTTGGTATACCCCTTAACTGTTGCGACAAAGTCCAACGTGGTCCGCCGATCAGAACTGGCTAGTTACATCATGGACAGTATGCGACAACATAGTCCGAAGCTTGTCGAACAAGCCGAAATCGTTAGCCATGAGTTGGTTCGAGTTGCAGTTTTATGGCATGAGCTCTGGTATGACGGATTGGAAGAAGCATCTCGACTTTATTTCGCAAATCATAACGTCGAGGGCATGTTCGCGACCCTAGCGCCTCTACATGATATGCTAGACAAAGGCGCCGAAACCCTGAGAGAAGTGTCATTTGCTCAAGCTTTTGGCCGTGATCTAGCTGAAGCCAGGCATTTCTGTAACCGTTATCGGGAGAAACAGGAAGTCGGAGACCTCAACCAAGCGTGGGATCTCTATTACACGGTATTCAAGAAAATTGATCGACAGGTTCGACACATGAGGACCCTTGACTTGAAATATGTTTCCCCCAAACTTAAGGACGTCGCAGATCTAGATCTGGCAATTCCAGGGACATATCAAAGCGGGAAGCCAGTAATAAGGATTATGAGTTTGGATCCAGTATTGATTTTGGTCCAAACGAAGAAGAAACCGCGAAAGATGATTATCAAAGGTAGTGACGGCAACTCGTATATGTACAATCTCAAGGGCCACGAGGATATCCGTCAAGATGAGAGAGTCATGCAATTGTTTGGCCTGATCAACACCCTTTTGGAAAAGGACAATGAATGCTTTAAACGGCATTTGATCATTCAGCGTTTCCCTGCTATTCCTTTGTCTCAAAACTCTGGGTTAATTGGGTGGGTCACAAACACAGACACTCTCCATGCTTTGATTAAGGAGTATCGAGAGAGCCGGCGAATTCTGCTCAACATCGAGCAGCGCATAATGTTACAGATGGCTCCAGACTATGAAAGTCTGACTCTGATGCAAAAGGTTGAAGTATTTGGTTATGCCATGGACAACACGACTGGCAAGGACCTCTACAGAGTCTTATGGCTTAAGAGCAAGAGCTCAGAGTCGTGGCTTGAAAGGCGCACCAACTATACTCGGTCATTAGGTGTCATGTCCATGGCGGGATACATTCTCGGTTTAGGCGATCGCCACCCATCCAACCTTTTGCTGGATAGAATTACTGGTAAAATCGTTCATATTGATTTTGGCGATTGCTTCGAGGTCGCTATGCACCGCGAAAAGTACCCCGAACGGGTTCCATTCCGACTTACTCGCATGCTCACTTTTGCGATGGAAGTTAGCAATATCGAAGGAAGCTATCACATTACTTGTGGAGCTGTCATGCGAGTGCTTCGAGAGAATAAAGAATCACTAATGGCGGTTTTGGAGGCGGTAAGTACCACGTCTGTGCGACTTGTCTGGGCTTCCTTACTGATCTGATACGTAGTTCATCCATGACCCGTTGATCAATTGGCGGTTGGGAGCACGCGAGTCTCCTGCGCAGCCATCTTTCGCTGATCGTCGCCAGTCCACTGAACTCAATCTCGACCATCCGCTGCAACCAGGCAACTTTGCACGTCGTCGTCCTTCAATTTTGGACGGTGGTATTCTCGATGCTCAGCAGGGCGTCCCTAACGAAGCTAGAGAAGTGCAGAATGCTCGTGCTCTCCAAGTACTCGGCAGAGTTCGGGAGAAATTGACTGGTCGGGACTTCAAGTCCCATGAGGAGCTCAGCGTGGTTGACCAAGTCGACAAACTCTTGGTTCAAGCCACGAGCGTTGAGAACCTATGTCAACATTACATTGGGTGGTGCAGCTTTTGGTAGTTGGTTTTCTCTTTGGTTGAGGCCATTTTCATGCGTGGAGTCTGGAATGTGCTTCTGGGTTTACTTTGACCAGGACATGACTTTTTACGATAATGTTGTTGTTTTATATGTTGGACAGACCTGCTTTTTATAGACATTTTGCTGTTTTGTCTTGTAATTTGATGGTTGCCTAGTGACCCAACCTATCCAAGCTGACGAAACTGAGATATTGTTTGCATATGCTGAGGCGAGGTGTAGAGCATTCGCAGCAGATCATGGAACCTAACGTAATCTACCACTCAACGACGGCCACCACTCAATGACGGCAAATTCTATATGGATGATAAGACTTTAAATAGAAATAATATAAGCAATACTTGAGATATATTTCTGAAATTAAGATATATCATTTTTCAATATTAGAATAGTATGACAGTATAATTATATAATATAGAAATGCATATGTGACTTATAATACCACATGTAAATCTGACTATCAAAATACTATATAAAATAAAAGATATGATATATAAGCTAATAGAATCTTGTTAATTAAATATATTTAAGTATTTTATATAGAATAACTAAAGCTGAATCTTATAGAAAAATCAAATTTTATAAATCTTTAATATATAGATCTTCATAAGCTTTCAAAGTTTGTCATGAATTGGTATCAAACTACAAAATTGAATATTATAATAAATAGTTAATGAATGTTTATAAAACTTCAATATAATATGATTTATACTTATTTAAAGCTATTTTTTATTAAAGATACTGTTTTTATTTTAATTTCAGTGTATAATATCATTCAAAACATCATAGAATGCAATATACTTTTATAATTGATGTAATTATGATTTATTTAACATTATATATGAAATATTATAAGTCAGAATGAGAGTAATTAAGCCAAACTTCATTTTGAATATATATTATATAAGCATATATAAGAATATATTCTTTTATAAGCTTTTTCTTTTCATAGTAATAATAAATAGATGAAAAGCTATATATCTTATTTAATAATATAGATTTTGAGCATTAATCTTTATATTATAATTAATTCATCTTATATATTATAATAGAAAAGAAATTTTTCACTAATATTAAATACTTGACATTTCTTTTAGCATCAAAAACTATAATGTTTGGTATCTAATAATAATATAATAACTAACTTGTAGCTTGAGATATTTGAATGTTTTATTTATTTATATAAAAGAAACTGAAATACAGTATAAAAGAATCTTATAATTTGAAAATATATTAAAATCTGAGCTTTTTATGAGCTACTTGATAAAATTTAATATAGATTAAAAATAATGATATATAATTTACTTATAACTTAGAATTTCTAGCTGAAACTTTTATATAGTAAAGAGTAGATCTAGTATTATATAAATAATCTAATATCTTTTTAAAATCATGCAAATGTTGTGTATAATACACAAGTAATTTCAGAATTGCAATAATCTTAAACAATAACTTCAATTTATTTATAAATATAGATGTTTTATAACATTATAATCTTTATATATAATGAAAATGGCATATTCTAAGTAATATTACAATTTGAGCTTGATATCTTATAAACTGATTGAGTTATTCTTATTTAAATTTTAATACAATAATATTTCATATTTCATTTCAATTTTATTCACTTTCTATAGACCAATTTTCAATTTTTAAAACATTATTATAATATTTATAGTATTCTAAGAGATTTATAAGTAAATCTTTCAATTTTATTCACTTTTGATCTAGAAATACATGTTTTCTTGTTTTGAAGTATTATATAACTAGCTGAATTACATAATGTATTCTGAATTGAATTTTGATTGAATTTTTAGTATAATTATGACATTTAATAGAGAAATATCTAGAGTTATGAACTATCAAGTATCAATTTAATTACTTGCTTAGTTCATAAGTTATAGTTATTTGAATGTGCATCATCTCAATTGAATTTGCCATTGTTGAGTGGTGGCCGTCACTGAGTGGTAGAGTACGTTAGGTGCCAAGACCGAGGTCAGCGCGTGAATCTTGATCGCCGTCTTGCTTCATCGAGGAACTACAGTCAATGAACGTCTCTGTTCCCACAGAGGTCCTCCTGTCAGACATGATACTGCTGGTGCTGGTTTCAACCCGGAATTGCTAACAGACCGGCACCGCATCATTGGACCTGGCTTATGCCGCTATCATCTTGCCCGAAATGGCTTCACATGCAACCCCCGAGCCCGCTTCGAGTGCTTCCAGCACAGAACTGAGCCCTATCCTGAGCCGTGCTCTACTAATTTGCCTTTCCCCTCGCGAGTACAAAGGTATCCATGACCGTTTAGCGAAACGATTGCCATCAAAGCTCCGAGATCGACCAATTTCTCCTGACACACTGAGCGCCATCGCCGATTCTCGCGACCAATTCACTACTGAAGCGCTTCGGTCTTCGTTACGGGCATTTTTGGCTACAGAGGCCATAGGCAATGTAGTAGAGACTGCTCAGAAGCTTTTCATGAAGAACCAGTAAGAGCTCCCGTTCCAACCCGCATTTAAGGCTGAGCGGGAGAGGCTGATATGCTCGCAAGTCCTACGACACCGCAACGGATCATTTTCCGCTTCGCAATCTCTCACTCCCTTTTTATCCTCGCACATCGGCTTTTATACCGTTTCTTCACTCGATTACGTGCCAACCTCCGCACGGAAGATGCCCGTCCATTCCGCAAACGAAATCCGCGGATCGCGAAGATCCTAATATCAAAGTACACTCCAGCCATTGGGGCCAGTCTAGCTTGCTTTGCTCTTGGGCTTTATCCCAGCTCTCAACCCCGGATAACGCTTGCAATTTTTATGGCGGCGAAAAGTTTGGAGTTTGCATATAACGCGCTTTGGGAAAAAGGCTGGTTTCAGAACAAGCCGTGGTGGATCGGAAGTTGGCTACTTATGCCTCTCTCTTGCGCGCAACTCTTCCACGCATTCGTTTTCGATAGAGAAACAATACCAAAGGTGTGTAAAAGGAAATTGTGAAAACTGGCCCCTGTAGCTGACCTTATCGCACCCAGTGGCTCAGCAACTTTATTGTGAAGTTTTCGCTGGGATATATGCAGATTCGCCCGGAAGGCTTTCCTACCGAGTTACATTGGCCAGATCAATATGAATCTGTCGATGCATTGGCAAAAATTTCCGAATTAAAGTGGCCGTAAGCTCCCCGCCGTTTATCCTTTAAAGTCTATACTTACATTCAGAGCGACAGCGCGTTTATCTCTCCTATTCTCCATCCACACAATCCAAACCCACTCCCCGCTGTTCTTGAAGGGATATCCCCTATTGCATCTCCGGCACATCCGGCAATGGCATCATTGTCCTGCGCGCTTCTTCATCCGAAGACCCCATCCTGTCTCACTGCGTTTCTCCAGCAAAACCTCCTCTCCATCCCTCTACTCGCACGCACAATCAGCAAGATTGCCGTTATCTTGTCACTTCCGGGATTCGCATCGTTTTTACTCCGTCCAGTAACTTGCACAAACGCTTTGTGCCGCACGATCCTTTCCTCGACGGCAGTCCTGTCGGCTGCCCTTGGTGCCGCCTGGGGTAGCATTTGTTTATTTAATAGCTTATTGCCGCGCTCCATGCTGCGCACTCAACGGTTCTACCTGAGCGGTGCGCTCGCCGGAGCACCGTTTATGTTTTTCCGCGCCGCAGGTGTTCGGTCACATTTCATATATTTCTTCCGCCTGGCCGTTGATTCGGCATGGAAAGCAGGGGTCAAACGGGGATTATGGCGTGGATGGACGGGTGGCGAGCTGTGGATCCTGGCCGTTTCTTGGGCGGCAATCGGGGCGATCCTGGAGAGCAATCCAAAGGCGGTCACTGGATCTAAGACCAGGAAGATACTGGCTTGGATCCGTGGTGATGGGTTTATGGATCCGGCAGAGTCCCGGCTGAAGAAGAAAGGAAAGAAGGCTGCGGCAGAGTAATTGTTTCCTCAATACTGTATGTTAAAGTCTTCAATGAATTATTCTTCACTTTTAGCCTCGCGTCTGTCGAGGATTCGGGTCTCACTTCAACATAGTCGCAACAGAATGCGACTTCATGCCCGAGATTTCGCTCGTTTCTAGACACCGCCTTCTAGCCGGCTAAAGATGTCTGCCTCATACGCTCAGTTGACTAGGATCTTGGCTTAGTGATCCATCACAGCAATGTCTCACTCCAAAAACCATTTCAACACGCAGTCTTTGAACACCGCCAGACTTGCCTTCATCAACGACCTTCTCCACACAAGGAAAAGATCAATCATGGCAGCTATGAACCAAGAGTGTCTCTCTTCGTGGTCCATCAACGCTCCCTCCTGGGATGCCACGATGGGTTCCAGGGGCAACGACTACTTCACCGTCCTCGAACTACCCGCCCTCACGCGTATGATTCAGTTCCCGCCTGGGAAGCAAATACGTGCGCTGGATCTCGCGACAGGCAATGGGCTCGTTGCGCACTGGTTGGCCCAGAATGGAGCGAGTGTGGTGGCTACTGACGGCAGCGAGGTGATGGTGAATTTGGCGGAGAAGAGGGGTATAGGCATCGATAACACTACGTATCAAGTCCTGGATGTCACTGATAAGAGAGCGTGGGATGAATTCGTCGACAAGCAAGTGGAGATGGTATAACCTGCTCGCCCTTTCGCGCCTTGATTTCTGGCGATTTCAGTCTCAATATCCTCTCTAGATGTTGACATTTGGAGC